CAATTATTGGTGAAACGAACATTAAGCTTCTACAGATGATGTAGCAGAAGCAGGAGAGAAAGCTACAGTGATTCTCTACAATGGAAGATCTACAGCAGGGGTCTCAAACTCAAATTAACTGGGGGCCGCTGGAGATAGAGTCTAGGTCAGGCCGGGCCGCATCAAGTATTCAGAAAAAAAAAATTGTATTCAAGTATTCCAAAAATGGAGCACAACTGATCCAATCTTCTCAATCTTTATTATTAACGTTTCTTCTGAACTGTTCCTCTGAATTTGAATATTCCTTTCTGAAAATGATTGGTTCTTCATGAGCTGTCCTTCTGACTATTGAAGTTAATTTTACAAACTTTCTTTGTCTTTTTCTTATACACAACATCTTTGTGTATAGTGTGGATAGTCATATTTGCTTTTTATTTTCTTTATACAACACTATTATATTGAATGTTTTATTTTCTTTTTTCGGAAGGCACATTTCCTTTTATTATACTTAATAAAAAAAAAGTAAAAAAAAAAAAGAAAAACAGTTATTGCTTTTGAAATACAAATAATTCTTTCTACACATGTATAGTATCTCAGGCAATTTACTGACTTTGCACAGATCAAAGCAAACCTTCTTATCAACCTGTTGAATCAAAGTTCAGTTCACAAATTTTAAAATGAACTAGTTCAGTTCATATTTCATACTTCAAAAAATGAACTAGTTCATAGTTCTTTTTTTCCATATGTTGCTGCGAGCTTCTTTTTTATTATTAGGCTATTATTATTGCCACAGTCCATATACAACCACAGATAACAATTATTTTGTCGACGGGCAGAGTTTGCACAGACATGTAAGATTTTCCCATCCTCACGACCTCATAAAACCATTTCAAATGATCTCACGACGCCTCCTCGCTCCTCGGTTCACACTAATGAACGAGTTCACTAACGTTCATCAGGCAGTGATACAGTAGGCTACGTTCAGTTCACGTTCGCCCAAAATATGAACAAGTTCATGAACGATATCGTTCATTGAACGCGTTCAGACACAGCACATAACAAGCTCAAAATGATTATTCTCACATTGTTTTAGAGCAGGGATATCCAACACGTCGCTCGCGAGCCTGATTCGGTGATAGAAGCTCGCCTTGGGGCTGTTCACATATCGCGCTCACATATTTTGCACGCTCAAGTTTGTTTCAAATGCATGCGCGCATCTAGCGCGCTCATAATTGAAGCGACGCGCTCATTTTTTCCAGGCGCAGTATATGTTTGTACTTCGTGGTTGTCTATGACAACTATTGCAACAAACCCACCGTAAGCTGTCACGAGGCTATCTGGTAGCCCATAAGGGAAAAAAAAAAAAAAAAAAAAAAAAAAAAACGCGGCAAACGCCACGGCGGGCCGCAGTCACATTAAACTTTAATGTCAAGTGGGGGGCCACAAAATATCACCCCGCGGGCCGCAAATGGCCCGCGGGCCGCGAGTTTGAGACCTCTGATCTACAGACACCCTAGACTCCCTCTGATATCATCGGTTCTGTGAGAAGGTGGCATCCAGTTCTACTTACATTTAGCCACAGGTCTTACCACCACCAGGAGCAACAAAGAACCACAGCCTGTGAGTGTACTTACACGTACACGTAGTTCTATGTTTATTGTGTCAATTTGTATCTTGTGTACTTCATTGCTGCTGTGAGCCTGTGACAATATCAATATCTCCTGCATGAGGGTTAATAAAGTGTATTTTATCTTACAGATGGGCTTTGCGCTATGGAGTGGGGATGGTTTAAGTATGACGAGGGGTTTGTGCCAATCTGGGGACCTCGTGTGATTTAGAAATTACATTCGTACGGGATTTTACTCAAATTTACTGACTTATCTCCCGGATATGAAGTCAATAGGCTAATGCTTGGAAATGTCTTGTCGTTATTAGGTCTAGCTGTATGATATATCATAAACAGAAGAATGTTCCTTACCACGTGCTGCTATACCCGTCATTAATCTTCATCTAACCTTTCTTTTTGTTTTTGCTCTTCTGATGGTTTTCAGCTTTCTCTTTCTGCAAATTGTATTGTATGGTGTATAGCGATATTACCTAGCACTCAAAATACGATCAAAACCCTCCAACGCAGCCTCCATTCTTCACGAAAGATGGATAAAAAAGCGCACAGGAAACCTTGAAAAAAATATAAACGACCCTGCCAAATCACAGATATATATATATATATATATATATATATATATATATATATAATTATAATATTATATGATAAGATTATCACAGGACCTCGGTGTTTGGCGAAATATGGTAGATCATTTGCGGGGGAATTTTTACTTTACAATTTACAGACATGACAGACAACCTCTGTAATTATTACAAATGACTAGAGTCACCAGGGCCCGGTTTTTCAAAAGGTTTACGATTTTTTTTAAGTTTTTTTTTTTTTTTTTTTCGATCCGTGATCACGTAATCCAGCTTACTTTTGAGCCAGTTTTTCAAAGCAACATCAGATTGGATCAATCTGATCCGGATAGGAACTGTTCAGGATCACTAATCTGGATAACCAGTGCTCAAACAGGATAGGAAAGTTTTTTTTTTTTTTACATCACAATGTAGAACTATAGATATGTAAAGAGCAACAGGTAGACAAAACAAGTAACAAACACTGTACATTGAGGATATTTATAACGAGTTCCCTTTCGTAGTCACTCCGAGTTACTTCGGATGACGGAGAATGGGTGTTTCACATAGAAAGCCAATCCTCTTCGAGTATTAAAAAACGAGCCAATGGCAAAGAAATGCCATGGGTCTGCGGAATTTGCATAGCGTATCTCCGCCTCACCCCGTGAGTATCCACAAGTTTCCGAGGGGCGCTCCTGTAAAAAATAAAGTGGGTGAAACTTCCGGTGAGGTGGCGGAAGTAGCATTCCAATGGTATTTTGTGTGTTAGTTAGCGAAGAGGCTAGCTGTTTTTCTGAGAATTATTTTACTATTTAAAGACGCAAATCTTTATGAGAGATGTCGTTACGGAGCTCAGGGACAACATGTGCTGTTTGCGGTTGTATGTATAACCGGACTAAACTGTGGCTAAAACGTGATTGTTTTGAACATAAGCTGAAAACGAAATCAGAGTGATCCTGCCAGAGCCCGTCTCTGATCCTGCCAGCGACTGTAGTTTCCATCACCTCCCAAAAGACGACGAATCTTCCTGTGTACATTTGTTTAAATTCTTAATATTCTATAAACTCTATCAGCATGTGATTGGCTGTTGGCCGCTACTGATGTTACACCTAAACTCAGGATCAAAGCCTGTGTTGACAGAATACCAAATGTGCCAGTTAATGTATTCAAGTAAGTTAGCACATTCATTTATAATTTTGAATAAACTCCAAAGCACATCAATGACTAAGTGTGTATTTTTTTTTTATTTTAATTGTTTGTCAGCTCGCACAACTGTCTGTCACCATGCCTTGATGAGTATTGATTATTAATGATATTATTATAATACTCCCAATCAACTACTGCGGAGGGTAAAGGTACTGTTATTTCACCCTTTTGAATTTGGATCGCTATAACTTGAATGACTGTCAACTGTTGAATGAACGAGTGTCAAGCATGTCAAGTGGCGCTTTGTTTACTTCAAACCGGAAGTCTCGCCCACTTTTGACGCAAGGCCTCATGGGGCGTAGGAAACTTGTGGATAAAAGGAGGAAGCGGACGCAACCGCAGTATGTTTTTGCTTCGGAGCCAAGACCGTATCTTCACTCCACAAACCACAAGACTTGAGTTTCAAGTGATTCACCTCTTCGAGACGAGCGGCTCTCCAGTGTTGGTGTGACGGCAGTACCCAGCGAGTCTTCACTTTGCCTGCGGTCTGTGTTGCGGTCTTCACTTTGCCTGCGGTCTGAGAGCCCCCGTATCCACCACCCGTTCTGCTTCCTCTAACAGGGCTAGTAGTTCAGCTGGGGGACCGGGTGATCTGAGGGTTACGGTGTGGAGTGATCCGACGACGCGTCCTCGGACCACGCCCCCCTCTCCAGTGTTGCAACCCGCGAGTGCCGCGGTGATTCAGGCGGGGCTTTCTACGGAGGTCCCGCGTGTTTCATTTGTCGCTCCAGAGGAGGACGCGATGTCGATCGCGGCATCACAAGGCGAGCCTGAGTCATTGGGAAGTGATGATGCGGATGCGCAGTGTTTCCCTTATCGGATCCCGAAATGACTGCTATGCTGTCTCGGGCAGCCGCGAGCATCGGGCTAGAGTGGAACCCTCTGCCCTGCCCCGTTCGCTCGCTGTTGGACGATTGGTTTTTGGGTGCAGCTGCCGCTGCAAAGCCACAGCCAACCCCAATTCCTTTCTTCCTGGAACTGCATGAGGAGTTGGCCAAGGCATGGAAGGCTCCTTTGACCTCCCGTGAACGTTCGTTGGCTTTCTCCACCTTTAGTTTTTTACTGCTTGATTATAAGCAGCACGGAAAAGCTTTGTGTGCTCCTTGTCTCCTAATAAGGACCTGAAATAGGTAAAAATAAGTCTGCTTTTTAAAACAACGGAGGATGGTTAGTTTGTGACAACAGCAGGAAACTGTATATTCGTGCAGTAGGCCTACGTGCACATTAAAAGATTCAATCAGATTTTAAGCTTGTGACATATAAATGCATATCAAACCGATGACTTAGCATTCATGTAAACACTATGTTCAGATTCATCAATCAGAATGATTTCATTCTGATCAAAACAAAATTCGTCCATCTAAGCATGGCTATTGACAGTGCCAACGCAGATATAAATGTTCACTGTGATCTTACTTGACAAAGGGTTAATATAAATCGTTGTAATTTAGGAAAATATTGCATGCGTATTTGAATCGAGATCAAAATCTTTCAACAATTGCAGCTCTGATTTCTTAAAATATATGTGGCTCTGTATATTTCTGATATGTAGAGAAACATTACACTTAATTCAGAATACTAACTACACATAGTATTAAAGGAGTAGTATACTTTAAAATGAAAATTAGCCCATGATTTTGTCACGAACGCCGGTGAAGGATCCGTCACATATTGACCACATGTACTGTTCAACAACACAGTCTGTTAAAGTAGACAAGGCCACACAATGCGAGGCAGAAATGGGTCCTACTGTAACTAGCACCACGGTCATTGATGATGCTAGATCCCGGCTGTATACAGGAGTGCGTATGGTTCAATTTTTCACCCTGGTGACAGTGTTGTTGCCTTTCAGTAAGCTATCAATTATCCTTCCTGTTGTTGACCAAATCCTGATGACCTTGATGAAGCTAAAACTAAACCTAATATTAGGAGATATTGCTCATCGCTTCAATGTGTCTACATCCATGGCAAGCATTGTGATTAGTCACTGGATTGACGTGATGGGTGAACAGTTCAAAGTCCTGATCCCCTGGCTTCCAAGAGAGACCATTCGTGCCACCATGCCCTTGTCGTTTCAGAGGAACTACCCTCGAACCACCTGCATCATTGACTGTGCCGAAAGTGCCATGCAGAGAGCCACAAACCATGACTCAAGGAGTGACACTTTCAGCCAGTACAAATCACACAACACTGTGAAATATCTCGTCGCTGTGGCCCCTAATGGGCTAATCATGTTTATATCTGATGCCTATGCTGGCAGAAGCAGTGATAAGTTTATCACCATGGACAGTGGGTTCCTAGACTATCTGAGGGCTGGTGATGAGGTCATGGCGGACCGTGGGTTCACCATTCGAGACTTGCTTGACGAGAGAAAGGTCAGTTTGAACATCCCTGCATTCACCTACAGACGCAATCAGTTGACCAATGAAGAGACCACACGCACCAGGCGAGTAGCCAATGTCCGCATACACGTGGAAAGAGCAATACAGAGACTGAAGGTTTTATCCCAGACTGTTCCCATTAGCATGGCACCGAAACTGGACAACATCTTAACCATCTGTGCTGGCCTAGTTAACCTGAAGAGTCCACTGATCAGAGTGCCTTGTGAGGTTTAATCTTGCCTTGCGTCCTTGTCTACCAACACCCAGCCATATTGCTCATTAAATACAGATAAACACAACAAATACTTCATGCATTGTATTTTTTATTATATATGACTATTTTTATAGTGATGTAATTGTGTGGGCTGCTTTTGTATTTTACTTTTTAATACCTGTTATGATTAATCACACAATCTTTCTTGTTGAAGCCATTTGTTTAGTTTACTCAAAACTTTATTTTCACTCAAACAGTAGAGGCAAACATCTGTTGGCTCCCGTGGGCATGACCTAAATAAGGCAGTTTATTTTGGTTTTAAAATGCTGAGATATGCAGAACTGTAACCTTCCCTCAACAAAATCATCAACAATTTTCGGGAGCATGTGGGCAAAGTAGAATGTGCGCAGCCTTTTGATATGCCCCTGGACAAAGCCTTGGTCGTAGGGTACTTCAATTTCTAGGTGCTCAGTTTTGTTCCAGATCACCAACTTGGAGGGCAGAAGCCCTGTGCAGTGCATCCCAATTTGTACCTGCATGTAGTAGCCTTTCGGGCCATTGCAGGAAATATGGTAATCTACTTTATCTATGTTTGCCACAGTTGTGATTTCACAGTTCTTTGTTGCCAAAAATTCTGCAAGTGACTTGTTTCCAATCACAGGTGATTTGATCTCCAACAGAATGTCTTTGTTTATCACTCCATCGGGAGATGCTGCAAGCCACGGTTCCTTTTCGCACACACCACTAAGCCTTTTGTTGCCCAGAATTTCCAAATAGTCCCTCGCAAGTTCCTCCCCCTCCGCTCCTTGACGGGTTGCAGCATTACCACGGAAGGATGGGTGTAAGTGATCTGACAAAAACTTGTCTGGCGCCGTGGTTGAGCGAGCGGGCACCTTTTTAGCCATGCTTGATGTGACTCGCACTCTCCGTGCATAATGCCAGACCTGTTCTTTGCTCTGTGATTTTGTAACCTTCTCAATTTCCTCAAGCTGGGCTGTGGACATGTTAATGTATTTATCGTAGAAGGTTCTGTCTTTTACACAAGCCAGTGGTGTGTGGTGCTCATCATGGATTAGGAGATGGAGGCCTGGACATGGTGATGGCTCGATGATGGAGGAGGTATTTGCATAAAGCAGAGCTGCAGAAGGCTATTCCAAAGCAGAGCTGCAGAAGGCTATTCCCAGGGCATTTGAAAAGTTCTGCCATTGGTGAGGCAAGTGCGTTCCTCCACCACTCTTCATGAGTGTCACCTCCTTTGCCGGTTCTGGAGTGGTAGAGGATGGCTGTGAAGTTGGCGGCGGCTGGTAGAGATCCTTCCTGTTGTGCCGTTTGAAGTGCACATACTTCATCTTCCTCTGACCAGCATTCCTTTTAGACCCATCATTCCACTGGTTCTGTCCGTCTGTGCAGGCATGCCCGGTTTTCCCCTGTCTCACAGCATTTTCTACCTAGAGAGATATAGTCAGGGATGGATTTTGACTTGCAAGGCCCCGGGGCCAATTATCTCAAAGGACCCTCTGTCACAATTTTTTTCCTGTTATTTTAGCTGCGTGTTCACAGTAGCTAATCTCCTGCGCTAAAAAGACAGGCCTATATTGTAGGGTTTACAGAATCGGGGCATAGGATAATAATAATAATAATCAACAATGGACTACATTGATGTGAATGAAACACGTATTTATTGAATTAACTTCAGATATACACTAAACACTATACACAATTAATTAAAATACATTTACAATGAAAATACATACAATTAAAATCAATTAAAAACACATTTAATGCATCACATGAATAAAAATGTATTCACACGAATAAATTATTTGTTACAATAAAAAAATAACATGCCTGTAAAGGTCTCTCTCTCTCTGCCACGCATTGTTCAAACACTGGCTAGGCTCTACATTTGCTTTTAGATAAATAAAGTGATCATATTTGTATGACATAACACAACCGACTTTGTTGCTGTGCAGATATTGGTATGCCTCGGAGGCTTTCAGATTGTCCATTGCTTTTCCATCTATTGCCATGGATTGCATGAAGTAGGAGCAAATATTACTGTACGTTATCCTGGGCCACGTCGTCATGTTATCCTCCCAGTTCTGTACTGAATTCGGGTGGGGGATAGTAACGCCTTCTCCAGTCAAAGTAGTGGAACCGTGTTCCCAAGCTAGCATAATAGCTGTGTTTACACCGGCAGACGCTGTGCAAACCACTTCCATATGTGTGCATATGTGTAGAGTTATGGCGGCGCCCACGATTTGGCTCGTAAACTTGTCTATAGAGAGACACTAATGACAAGGACAGGTGAAACTAACTAGACAATAATAACGAGACGAGGATAACAAGGGGGCAGGGTAATGAGACAACACAAGCACATGGCTCAAACAGCTGGCCATGCGCTTGCACACAAAACATGGGTCTGTCATTATCCTGCCACAATACTAGGAAAAATCACGGACATGATGGCAGAATCATGACACTTTTAGTAACAATCAGTTCATTCAACAGCAAACAATGCAAGACCCATTTTTCAAATCACCCTTGTTGCTGAAATAATTACAGTAATACAGGATACAGTTGCCATAAAATATCTGTAGTGTGTTATCAAAAGCTGTGATGAAGTATGACACAGCCATGAGGTTCAGTGCTAGAACATATGTACATGAACACAAGTGTATTTGATGCCATCTGTCTTCCTTCTACAGATGCATCTCTAATCAATCTAATGTTACAGTCATTGACAGTTTCCTCTCCCTTATACTCTATTCTGCTTGTGTTTTCACAAATGGCAAATTTCTCTCTCACACACACATATGCGTGTGCACATACTTTGAACATAGTGGTGGTTATTATCTATATATCACTTATGTAAAAAGAATTCATTACATTTGGTTATTCATATCAGAAATTTCAAACAAGTTATATAGAAACTGTATATCAAATCAATATCTATGGAAATCTATAGGTGTACAAACTGATTAATTGATTAACCATTAAGATCAGTTAGATTAAATAATAGACAAATTAAACTGAACAAAAAGAGATGCAAATCAAAAGTTTAATAATAAGAGCTTTATGAAAGGCAGTTACTGTGAATGAAACAATAATGTAGATGAAACACTTATTTTGTGTTGTGAAAGGGATACTTTGTGATTTTGTGAATTGTACCAACACAATTGAAAACATGATGAAATGTTTGAAAAAAAGTGCACTTTTGATGATCTGTTGTGAAATTAGCACTAAGAGTTTTGAAGTGCATCCATCCATTATATAAGAACTCCGGGGGGTTAATGAAGGCCTTCTGAAGCAAGCCATGAGTTTGTCTAAGAAAAATATTAATACATACATACGGATTCCACTTAAGTGTAAAGTGCAACTTATGCGAGTAATGCGACGTACTGCTGATATTTACATTACGCCATGACGCACTACTTCTGACGTCACAAGTTGTGTAAGTTTCTCTTTAGGCTCTTTAGTAGACTGCGAATGACCATTTGGCCAGAAGCTAGTTATTTTACTTTATAAACTTTTAAATATGGATATTTAATGGAATGCCTTTATGCTTCTTTACGTGTCAGGGTGTTTATTAATATAACTCCGATAGTATTCGTCTGAAAGAAGAAAGTCATATACACTTAAAGTATTTTACAAGTAAATTATGTAAAATCTAATTTTGTAAATTTTATTAAAATGAAGTAAAATCAAAACACCTCACACATAACTAAATGTTAATGAATCCATACCAGAAGTGACAGTACAGTGTAGTAGATATAAAGAACAATCCTCCACTAAATTGCCAGTACTCATTTGGATCCTTTGTCAATCTGGGGTGGGGTGGAGTGGGGTGATACGTCAGATTTAATTTTTACAATTCCTTTAAACAATATTAAACAAAACATGAACAAATGGTCCACAATAGCTTTCTGGGGGCCGCAGCAAAAAACGACTGTGTGTGTGTTGTGTGTGTTCAATACTCACTGTTGTGTGTGTGTGTGCACTTGAATAGGTGAAATGAAGAGCACAAATTACGAGTGGGGACACCATACTTTGCTACATGTCATGTCACAACACACAATTGTAGCTTTAAAACAAGCAAATTGGTGAACCAAAACCAAACAAACCATATAATAATTTGACATGTAGCCGCATTTATCCTGTTATGACATAACACAGTCTCATCCCAAAAAGTCATATAACTGACGTTTTGGGACGTATTTTGACCATACGTCAATATCCGCCTTTTTAGGGCCCCCTTAAACGTCGGTAGATGGCGATCCCGGGCCGTCATACAACTGGCGCTTTACCTTTAACGTCAGTTAGGTGACGGGTTAGGTTTAGGGTTAGGTTTAGGTCTGGGGTAGAGTTAGGATCCCATAACCTCATCTACCGACGTTTAAGGGGGCCCTAAAAAGGCGAATATTGACGTATGGTCAAAAGACGTCCCAAAACGTCAGTTATATGACGATTTGGGATGAGACCGGGTTGTATGACACATCTGAGGGTACTTTCCTTGTTCTTCAGTGTACTAAATAAAGGACTGATGATGGTGACATGTTCTCCTTTCTTTGTATCTTTAGAGGAAGAAAGACAAAAGGATAAACAGTAACTCATTTTTGTTACTGGTAGTGGAAATTACTATGGTGATGATGATGAGTATAATACTTTTAGATACATGATATTTTAAGCGCAAAGTAAAATTTAGAAGCAAAGGTTAAAATTGACGAATATCTTACTAAAGTTATAATTGTCACGGTGTATGGTGGAGTGCAGGCAGAAGAAGACGAAAGAGGCTAATGCTCCAATACAAATCACTTTACTTAATAACTCCAACAGGTACAGGTATAAGAAGACGGGCAGGAACACTCACAAAACACAGGGTAACATCTACAACGACCGACCAAGACTGCTGCGTTCAAGTCCTCCTGTTTACGACGTGAGGTGCGTTCAAGTCAGTTTCGTCGGAGCAAAATGGCGGTGTACCTTCTTTTAATGAATTACACGAAAATACAGCAAGGTTT